AGCTCTTTCTTTTAAGAGAGTCAACCATTCCGTGTTATACTACGCAATTTTAAAAAAAAAAATATTTAAATTCATTTATAGTTTCACTTTAAATAAAATGCCAAACTAAATTCTAAACTGTTATATGAGTAAAATTCCATTTTCATTCCATATTACTCATATAACAAATATTTGCGTGTGGTATTTTTAGCATCTGCTTGATGCTAAATTTCTTATACGTACATATGTGTATATAAGTATATACTTATATGACTACATAGTGAAAAATCTGTATATGATTACCGAATTTAAAAAATTTCAAAAATATTTTGACAGGATGCTTAAAATATAAAATACTGAAAAAAATTTATTACAATTTCTTATATTTCCATTTTGAATCCTTATCTCTTACTAATTAATATCCTTCGAGTAATTAGAAACTCTTAAGTACTATTTAGACGCATGCGGTGTTCTTCAAAATTTTTAATTCTCAAGTACTTTTCAGTTTTTTAAAAAATTATAATATTTAAAAGTAAAATATCTATTATAAATTTTATGGCTATTTAATTTACGTAAATAACTTTCTAATATGCCTTATACTCTTTTTTCCTTTCAATTCTTTTTTCAGTATAATGCTTGTGCTATTTATCTGGTCTGCAATAAAAACTATTTGAATGTAAAACAGGTTGTATGAAAAAAAAATCTGTTTCATTTTACGTTGGTTGGCCAATAAATTTATAATTACGAGTATATTGAAAAATTCGTACAAAATTTGTAAATTATACGAGTACAATTTTTGCAAATTTCATTTTCACTTTTTTTTTTTAAATTTGTAGATTAGTGAAACTGTGGAACAGTAAAATTTTGTAGTATAGCATATTTTAGAATTTGGATAATGAAAATAAATTGAAAATATTATAGGTGTTAAGCTATTAAGTTGAAATAAATGATAGAAAAATATTTATGCCGTAAAAGTTATTTTAGTCTTTCAATGTTTTTGCGCTAAATAAATAATTATCAAACAGCGAGAAATGAAGAATGTAAACAGACAATTTTAATTTAAGTCTTATAGAGCTTAAATAATAATTAAACTAACAATTCTTTAGAATAGGGTGCCTAATGTTTTTAATTCAATTAACTAAATTTTTTTAAGATTGCTCACTGAATTAATCGATCTTGTTTTTTCATCAGTAGAAAATGTATGAGTACTATTTGACTTTTGTTTTAACTTCAATTGAAATAAAAAAAAACGACGGACGTGAAAAGCCAAACTTTTCGACCACATTTCTTATTACATATGTATATATTAAACAATTTAGTAAAAGAATTTACTTTAATATTTTCCGTTTTGAATTGAAATTAAAATTATCATTGAACAACACCACTTGAAAGTCAATTTACTTATATGGCTGATAAAAAATCATTTCATATCTAATCATAATTAACCAGAATGTTTTGTATCTGTCGGTATTCCTTTTTAACTCTTTTGTATTAAAATAAATTTTAAACTTTGAGTAGTACCATGTTCAGTATAGTTACAAGTAATCTTTATATATTAAGCAATTTGTATTAATATAATTATTAGTAATATAGGAGAGTATTTTTAAGTGAATGTGTACATCAAATTAATTTTTAATATTGTAGAAGTTTCAATAATTGAAAGAATGACAATGTACAAAAAAATTTAAGATTAATGTTTTAGATTACTGAGATATTTAATGTCGAACAAAATCAATATTATTTGTTCAATTTAACGAATGCCAATTTTATTACGAATTACAGTCTATTTTATTACGAATTTAAGTCTATTATATTTAAGTTATATATGAATCCTCGAATCTCATTGAATATTGAATCGGTGTCACATGTTGAAATAATTAATACAAAGAGAAATTAAGGACTCACATATGGATTAAAATATTTTCATTTTAGTATTATAATCATAAATGCCATATTCTGCATAACAATATTCGAATCGATACAGTGACGAGTTACTCGTATAACTACTTAGGATTGATAATAAATTGAAAAATTAAATGGGATGAATATATTATATTTTGTTATCAAAAAAATTGCACCATATATTTTTGTACTCAGAAGATTTAGGGGTCTATTAGAATAAAATGCGATGTTTTTATTCGGCATATATTCTTTTTATTGTTTCGGTATTGTTCACGTCAAAATTGGAAGTTCAAATAAAGAGGACTATTAAGACAATTCATAACTACCCCATAATGCACCCCATTAGATTACTTTGTACGTGTTAATACCGAAGTCTAAATTTCATTTGCAGGAGGGAGTTATACATAATTTCTTATTGAACCGGAATATGAACTTGTTGTATATTCATATTCCACGAGAAATAAGTCGAATTTTTATTTGACCTTATTTAGAATAAACAATTAAAGAAATAATCTCCTATTTAATTGTCTGAAAATTTTCAATGACTACCCTACGGGGATTAGACCAATAGCGTTGGTATCTTTAAGAAATCGATTGACGAATTTATTCACACCCTGCAGGCGCTATTTTAATAACTTGATTTACTGAAATAATATACATTTTAGGATGGCTTCGAAAACTCGTAACGATGCTATTATTCGTGCTGATTTTTTTCTTTGTAAGTTTGTATTAATTTCTTGACACTCTGTAGGCGATATTTTTTTAATTTTTTTTGAAAAAATAGTTTCTATTGCTTGTAAGACTCGTAACATTGTAATATACATATTCGGTTTTAATGAACAGTAAAATTAATGCATTTGGTAATAATTGACATTATCCCAAGAATGCGAAGTATGGAAGGGTGATACCTAAATACTATACAACTACATAACTGTACAATGTGTATTTTGTCATATTGTACATTAATGATAATATGATAAACTACAAACCCACTGAAAAAAAGTGATCGAAATAATCATAAAACTAAATATTATTTGCATAAACCAATTTGTATTTTATCAATTAAAAATTATCTTAAGATAGTTTAGTTTATAATAAAATCAATCGTAAAATTACAAACATAAATTTCAATCTGTTATATAATTAATTTACCTATACTAGTTTAGAATTACTGCTCGATTTCTTCTTCCACCATAAAACCTATTTTCAAAATTTTTAGAAAATATTTAAAAAATTTTGATAGATAAACTCAATTAAGAAAAAATTAATTATTTGTTTAATGACCATACATTTTAGACATGTGCGGCTATAATTCTGGTTTTATATTAATTAGTTAATATTTAAAAATCCATTTAAGAGATTTGATTTCCTTTTTAGTAAAAAAAATATTATTATCTTCTTAGTTCATTATTAATTTGTCCATAAAAATGATATCTTAATTGAAATTGCTTATATTTTTAGATAAATGAAAATTTTTATTTTAAATTAAAACTGGAATAAAGTTAAAAATATGGAAATTTACAATTATGTAAATAATTTGGAGACAAAGAACAAAGCCTCATTATGTCCCGAAAATGGAAATCACTTAAATTTTCGTATTTAAAGTAGGTAAACCAATTAAAGAAAATTTAACATGACTTGAATAAGTTTTTGCCATCAATACATTGCTTATGTCACAATTTTAATTACTTTTGTCTTTAGTTTATATCTGGAAAAGTTTTGTTTTTTTTGGAAAATTATGGTCGTATCTTGTAGACATCAAATAAAAATGTTAATTGCTATATAATAATGTAACAATTTTAGCATATAACAATTTACACAAGTACAACAATTTGAGTATTCAAGCCCAAGAATCAACTGTTGAATTAGAAAATTATTGAAGTAAACGATAAAAATTTGGCACCCGCTTGTTGCGGGTGTATTAAATAATTTAACTATTCCGTTGTTGAAATTCAGTGTTATTTTCACTACCAATTATTTTTAATCACAAAAACCAAAATTCTAAAATTTTTCTAAAACAAAAACTTACCAAATTTTAAGTAATACGAACACTGCTGCCTGTTCTGCTGGAAAGAAACGAGGTTAGAATAAAAAAATACAACAAACTTAACGAATGTGTTTGCACAATTTTTTCAGTCAATTCAAAATAAAATCGAAAACGGAAGAGAAAAAGGAAGTATTTATTGGTGTATGGTGTTATAATTCCAGTGGTAGAAAGTATCAAAGAAATTGTACCGAATTTCCAAATTAACTGGTTTTAGTGAAACATTGTTCCTGACAATGCTTTTAATAAAACTTTAATTAAGTGAAGTTACATTTGATTGACATAAAAACGTCTATACTTACGTATCAACTTTGTACTTCAATTTTTCAAAATATTTCCTTATTTTTCTCTCCCGGAATGGAATTTTTAAAGATTCTGTGGAAACATTTGATTGATGAAGTTTTTGCTGAATTTTATTGTAATTAATAAATATGTAACTTAAAAATCAGTTACAAAAATTGAAACCTGGTAACTGCATTTATATAGCAAAAGTTCTTTTTCATAATCTCACGTTTAGTCCGAGAATAAAATGGTCATTCTGACTTTGTTCTAATCTAATACTGATCCGGAAATTGATAAATAATAATATACAAGTAAGTGGGTTTGCATAATAAAAAGGTTAATATCGAAAACTGAATGTGTAATGAGTCATAAAATTTTGGCATACATAGTTCTTTTTGAACAATGCCTTTTCTCCTTGACTGTGCCATTATTGTAGCTGGTCCTTAAACGTTCAGTTCTAATACTGATATATTCCATATAGGGTAAGTGGAAATTTTATGCTATTGTTAATCATTAGTCAGACTGATAAAACTCCTAAAGAACTTTAAAGCTGACTGCAAAAATTACTTGAAAAGCACTTTCTTTGATTCAAATATTTTGAAATTATTTAGACAATTTTAAATTTCTACCTTAAAGTGCTCTATAAAAAATTTTTTATTATTAATAGTCCCTAATTCGGGGCGTAAAATTGATCAAAATTTCAAAACAAAATAAAAAAAACACGAAATTTTTTAAATTGCTATTCTTTTTTGATTTTCTTTTTTTCTTTTTCCATTTTCTTTAAAATTTATAATACAATAATTTAGTAAAATTTTAAATTAATCTATAATCAAATTATTTACAATTATTTTCACACAGTTAATTTTTCTCCATTCAAATTTTCTTGCAATCAAAATTCCAACGAATATTCGTGTTTTAGTCTTCCTTCCTTGAAATCTAAATTTAGATTTTAATTCAAAAACTCTTTATTTTTGACTTTGGTTTAGTTTTCTTTAATTTTTCTACAGTATGTTATTCGAAAATAACTGCAGGATAATATTGTTGTGCAGCTGGATTATTATTTTCTTAGCCAACAAAATGAATATCACAGTTATCTTTTTGCTATCCCTTTTGAAACAATATTAGAAATTTAGCACGAAAATATATAATTATTTCTGAGGACTACATATTGTTTGTGGTGCTGGTGCATGATGATGATGAGCAATTGTGATATGATGACTATGAGAGTGATGATCGTCATCTGGTGGCGGATCATGCATTGGTTTTTTCTTTAATATACTTAAATCGTTTACATTTTCAAGGAAACTTTTGTGAGCCGAAAGTGCTTTAACACTTTCAACATCTTTTTTTAATTCCTCCATATCACGTTTTAATTTTGCCCGTCTATTTTGGAACCATGTTATAACCTGGGAATTAAAAACATAAAATATAAATTTTAAAATGAGTTTATAAAAATTTGTAAAACAAAGCTTCGTATATTACAAACTATTTCATTACCTGAGCATTTGATAGACCTAAACCAGCTGCAATTTCATCACGATCAGCCGGTGATAAATATTTTTGATATAGGAAGCGTTTTTCTAATTCGAATATTTGATGATTTGTAAACGCAGTACGAGATTTTCTTTTTTTCTTTGGTTGTGGTCTCGTTGCAAATAAATCTAAATGTGATTGGTCTGAAAAGAAAAAGAGAAAAATTTTGTTAATTTCAACTTTTTTTAAAAAAAATGGCTCATATTTTTTTTACAATTTTGTAAGTAATGTTTAAATAAAGCAATTAAAGAGTAAATTATAATTTTGCTAAAACGATAACCGATTATCTTCGGTATGCTAAGTCCTCTTTGATGGTTCGTTAGTTTTGCCTGTCCGAAATACAGATAAGGATAAAGTATTTGAGTTTCAAAGATAAGAGTACAAGTACCAACCTTCATTTTAAATTAATTGTTACATTTTGTTTGTTTCTTTGTGTTAGAATGACAGGAAGGGAAACTTTTAACCAGCTCAATAATTTAATAATACATGTGCAGTAAAATTTATTGTAACATCCTAAAAATTAACAAGTTAATCATATGTTTTTCTTTCTTTTTTAAATTTCCGACTATTTCATATTTATTTTTGTATTGCGTATAGTAAAGGTTATAATAAATGGTAAAATTTTAATCTTGATTTTTGTTTTGTTTTAAATTTGCCCAATTAAAGTTACTTGTTTTACTTAATTTTTCTTTCTTCAAACAGTAAAAATTATATATTTCGTATATTCAAACCACAATGTTACATAGTTGCATTGAGCTCTTGTTACAATAATTATTTCATCTCGTTAACGACACTTTAACGAGAAGTAATTTTAATTTTGTATCAAGTACGATAGGTGTTTCATAATTTATCTTCTATATAGAATAAATTATTACAGACCGTATTGGATGCAATAAGGAAAGCTATGAGATGGCACTAAATATCGCATATCAAGTTTTTGGTAGAAAAAGACTTCTTCGAGGTAGGGAAACGTAAACGAGATATCTGTCGGTTTGTCTGTTAGTCTGTCTATTTGTCTGCCGGTCTGGTTATCAGTTTGTCTGTACACATCAGTTTCTCAAGTTCCGGCGCGCACAATTTATAAATTTTTGGGAGTATCAGGACTCGGAAACTGAAACTTTAGCTGAACAGGAGCTGATTTTACATTTTTTACAATAACTAAAGAACTAATTGACAGAATTTCTTAAAATTCAATATTTGAATTCTGTTTGTTGTTAAAGATAATTGACGAACTTTTCAGAAAATTCCAATGACATAAAGTCAACCCCGACTAATTGTCAAATTTACATTTTTTTAAGTATGTTTTAAGTATGAAAACTTATTAGCGTCCTTAAAATTTGAAAAAATTGTTTAAAGTGCAATTTCATAACCTTGTGCAACACTTTCATTAAACTGGGTAATACACCTTATAACTACGTCAGAATTTTTTTAACATTCATATAACAAATAACAAAATTAATGATCGAAACAAATGATGTAGTGTTATTCAATTGCGATCACTTTTTGACTAAAAATTTTTATAAAGACTCTATTTTAAGTCTAAGCTAGTTTTACTGGTAGCTACAGACTAAACTTTGGCTCTAATCGTAACTAATCGTAATTTTAAGCTCGTAGTTTAAAAATGCAATGTTTTCTTAAGTGAGATTTGAATATCTTTTAAATATGATAGAAATAATATTTTTCAATAGAAATAATAAGATCACATAATATGATGTTAAAAATAATTATTATGCATTGATTTCCGAGGTGGGAACACGTTACGTAATTGAAATAACATTAAAAAAACTATTGCTGTACTAAAAACAGTTTATATAATTTATTTAATTAAAAAAATTTTCAAAAATTTGGACTGAGAACGAATGTGTTTTGATTGACATTAAAAGGATGGCATAAGTGAATGACATAACAAACTGTCAAAATAAGTAAGAGGGTAGTCCTTTTCGTTAGTGGTTTAAAATAACTAAGATCAAAATGTAAATTTATTAAAAAATATCTATCAAATGTCTATCAAATATTCAGCATAAGCGCAATCAATCAAATTCAAATCACAAGCGCAAATAATTTTGACCTGATTTGTAATACACTGTTATTCTACGTTATGGGAACTTTACTGTGATGAAATAATTTTTTTAATTTGAAATAATAAAATTTTTAAAGAATTTAATTAGTTTAAAATCTCATTTGAAGCTATAATTTCAAGTTAATTTTAAGTTTAAAAAGGGAAAATTAGTAACTTAATTCAATCTCTACATAATTTTGAACTGTATTATGTACAAGGATAAATGTAGGATAGTAAAAATTGTTGTCTTTTTCTATTGAATGAATTAAATGTCTCCTAAATAGATATTTCAATATTTAATTATACGGAAATCATATATATATATATAATTTAATGTGTAATTATTTTCATATTCACAGCACAATATAAGTTTCTATTACTGCAGGACTTAGTTTATGCTTGATCAATCTGAAATCTAATCCAACGTAGATTTCTTTTATAAAAGCACAGGAATTATGAATATTAAAAATGAAGTCATCAAATTCAACAAAAACAGTTTCGACGATTAATTTTAACAAAATACATAATTTATATAAAGGTATGTTCTTTATGTCACTGAAATGTGACAAATTCTGGTAAAACAGATTTTGAATAAAAAATTTCAACATAATCTCGAAATAATTTCAGTAATATTAATGTACTAAAAAATATTACCTAGAATATTTCCACCACTATAGGAATCAATTCAACTTATTTATTTAGTTGTCACTTTACTGTCAACTTGCCTGGTAAATCATAAATCATATTTTAAATTGCTGCATATACTGCAACTGTATATTTTTATTTAAAGTCAAAATAATTACCACTTTCAAATAAAAATTGTACTAAATTTTAGAAAAATCAATCGACACGATCTACGTTTCATGCATAACCTACATTATTTGTTTAGATTCAGTGAACTCAAAAATTCATGTATACATAATATATTATGGCCCATTTACTTTTTAAACATACCTTGTTAAGCAAAAAAAAAAACATATATAAGAATATTTAATTAAAAAAACATTGTAAAAACGTTTTAAAAACAAAAACAACAATAACAAAGTATGTACTTGTACTTTTGATACGTTTTACACTTTTTATAAACGATATCAGCAAGTTACCTAGTTAATTTTAACTGAGTTTTACACGCAATATTTATGTACATTGCACCAAAAACTTCTTATTAACCTTTAACAAAAGGTATAATAAAATAATCAATGAAAAAAAAAACACTATAGTTTAATACATGGAATATACACACACTTACAAATCTTGACATTAAATTTGATATACAATATGTACATATATATATGATATGAATAAGCGAATATGTGCACACACATCCATAACTGCATGAAACACATTTTGTATTTGAAACGTCAAAGTTCAGTTATTTAGTTTTGCTAAGTATCTTGTAGATATTTAAAATCAAGTTGATTGTACTTTATATGCAGGTAAAAATTTGTATATGTATAAGTAAGCACGAATATAATTACGCGATTGCACTTATGCACATATGGGAACAAGAAAAACGAAATAAAAAAGCACAAAAGTATTTTTACGGAAAATTACAATTAGGTAAGTAGAGGCGGCAAAAGATCAAAGAATTTTTGCATTTTGCCTTATAAAATTCGCATGTTACTGTAATTTTTTTTTAACTTATTGAGTTTAATTTGGGGACCTCAGTGAATTATGTTTATATAAGAAATGAATTCAAAAGTTTTAAATGCAAAGCTATATTGTAATGTTTATTGATTATATAAAATATTTTTGAGTTGAAAATCATATTTTGGCCTCTTTTAAAGATTGGAAATTGAAATGAAAACGAAAATTAAGGTCTAACATTATACCATTCGAACTCTGTAAGGTATAAATCAAAATGTACATGCAACAACCTGTACACACAAAGAAATAAACACCACATTTTCGACAAACGTATACCCGTGGATTACCAAAATACCTTAGTCAAACGATTGGTTATTTATAATTTAATTTATTGAGGCACAGAAGAAAAATTCCATTAATGACTCGAAAAGCATTGCCATCCCAATTCTTACTAAACATATCTATATATAGAAGATTACAAATTTCAGATACTGAAATAGAACTCTTTTTCACAATGTTTAAGAAAACTTCAACTGTGCATTTGTATTTTTGATTTTTCTAATTATTTTTAACATTTTTAATATTTTCCTGGACTTAAAACACTTTTAATTTCTCTAATGCACATCATTAAGTAGGTAAAACAAAATATAAAATAATTTCTTAATCTTAAAGTACTTTACGATAAACTTATTCAATGCTTATGTTTTAATAAATGATCAAACCTTCAGAAATAAAAATAATCATTTATTATTTTACTTTTTTTTTATATAAATTAATTATTATTACTAATAACATAATAATTCTATATAATTAATTTTTACCTCCTTAAAATTATGATTAATTATAAGCTAAATAATATTATTAATGCGATACTTGTGGTTTTACTTTAAATGAACGACAATCCAATCACTTTAATGACCCCACTTGGAAACATCAAGTAAAAACAGAAACAACAATTCGTTAAGATTTTAACAAAATATTATAATTTTAGTTGTTAGCCAAATATTTTAGCTCTCGGCGACACTAATAAAATTGATTGGTGAGGTGCAATGAACTGAAAAAACTTGAACTCCTTTTAATTATTGTTATAATGGTAAATTGAAAATTTTTTTTATAATTATGAAAAATTACAATTAGTAATAATTTTGTTTTTACTTTGCGTGCTATTGAAAATGGCCAAATATGCATAATTTATTAATTAGATGTATAGGAGCTACCCGATTTTTATCAAAAACAAAAAAAAATTGTATAATATTTTGTACCTTCATGTGCGAATATTATTAAATTGGTAATTTACTAGGGTTTTAGTTTCTATTTTTTAAGTGATTAAACTACAGTGAAATCATGCTACTTGAATTATTATCCTGGCTAAATATGCATTATTTATTATAACATGACTGCTTATTATAAAATTATTGTTTACTTATTTAATATTCAAATCGATTCGAGATATAATTTTTTTTTCAAAATCGCCTATAATTACTTATATAAAATTAA